AAGAAGTGATGGTAACGGCTGGTGCTAGTTGATCGACTTTGCTGGCTGCTAGCTGCAATACTCGACTTCCCTGTTGTAGAAGCTCCTTCAATATCGTTCCAGACGTACGACCTTTTTTGGGAGGGAGAACATTTTCTTTTGACGACGAGGATGACGATGATGAAGATGATGATGAAGTGCGCTTACGCTTGGTAGAGGGGGAGGGGCACTTTTAGGCACGGCTGGCGCAACAGGTTTTGGTGGCGGATTCAGGCGCTTGGCCGGCTGTGTTGGTTTGGCTGGCGATGTTGGTTTGGGCACCGGTGATGCTTTAGCTATGACGTCCGTTCCCGTAGTGGCTGATGACGTCTTCTTGGCTTTGTCCATGACTAAAATATAGGAACTACAGTATCCGAAGAACAATCGTAGTGATTTCATGCAACAGATCAAATCTGCCAATGTCGAGGAGGGCGTCACAGGAGTTTCTCAGTGCCTTTCTTGTGTGTTCGGAAACATGCAAAAGCGATTTTCCATGCTGACCGCAAGGTCAAGGTTGTGATGTACATGATTCCTCGTGCAGTCTTGAGTGTGATACGTGCAATTGAAAGCATGGTTTATGAGTCCGTACGTCCGAAGGAGCATATATTCCATCAAGAGCGCTAAGAGCAGGAAAATGCCTACGGCAAGGACAGTTTTATACCAATGCAGGAGTACATCAAATATGTGACCAAAGTCGGGTAAGCGGATCTCGTCGAAAATGTTGCTTTCTCCCGCTATAATCCGAGCTGCATACCCATGTATGGTATGTACCCACTGAAGAATGCCAGTGATTTCGAAGGTAGCTCCCACATTACCGCAGGACACATTGCATCTTTGGTGAATCCTTGCCGATGTGTGACTGAAACGCAGTGTTGATTCTGCTCCCTTCCTGGTAATGGGATTGTGAAAAAACGGTCCTCACATTGAATTGTTGCCACAGTATCATTTCCATCTGTATGACAAATCACCTCTGCTGTTGCTCCCTGCGGGCAGAGGTAACATCCCTTGGCCACTGTGTTCGTAATCGTGCATATCGGGTTGGTTACCACTGTAATCGTATCGTCGAACTTGTCTCTTTGATGGAGGAGTAATTCTGCTGTGACAAACGTTGAAGTTCGGCTGTTACTGAAGTGGGGTCTTCTTCTTTTGATGCTGTGAATGTAATCCACGGTCAGCGGATAGGAAATCGATTCTCGATCTCCTTTAAGAAAAGTTCCGTGATGTTCAGATCGGAACAGATGCAATTGACAGTGGTTTCCGCTGGTTCGCAGTCACAGTTTGATGCTACTGTGCAGTTTATGAGTGAATTCGCGTCATCCCATGACTCGCAAAGGGGGTTCGGTAATTCTTTATGATTCCAGATGGCGAGTTGTGAACCGTCCGAGATGAACCGAGATGACAGTGCAGGGGTCGGTGGAACGGTAGCAGTGATTGTGAGCCGCATGTTGCTCATGCTTATAGGGACAGTAGGTTGTACCAACACCGTTCTTTTGCGGACTGCAGACCTTGTTATGGTCGTGACTTCTAGTTCTACTTCCTCCTTCCATTGGGCGC